TCATCTGAAATGCAGGTTGCACAGCGTATGTACCGTGTAGCTAAACGGAGCCTAATACAGCGCAACTTAACTCTGCTAAGCCTCAATCCTAAGCCAGTGGCAACTGGCTTCATGTATCCACCTCGTCCATTTAATTTTCTTATGGGGTGAACAACTTTTTTGCAGCTAAGAACAAATGATCGAAACTTCAATGCTTGGAAAAAATGGTATATGAATCAAATAGTTGGTATTGTCCACTCCGTTTTTTGAACACGAACTTATCAGAAAGGGGAAGATTATAACTGATATATTGGACAATTAAATTTCAATATATATAAAGTGGTCGCGACTGAAAATGGAATATCCGAGGTGTGTTTTACACGTTTTTTTTTAGATTAACGTGGGTGTCCGGGCCAGCTTGTGCGCACCACGACTAATTCCATGGGCCCTGAAGTTAACGATCATGTAAGCCTCCAGTAACCATCATATAAGCAACCAAAAACTCAAAACTGAGACTACTAAGAAAGTAAACTTTTTAATCCCAAGTCCTTACACATGTTATTATAAGTGCAAGTTGGCTGACTTTTCTACTTTGGACGTGCAAGGGCAAGGCGGTAGAAAAAAGATAAGACTGCGTCTATGTGTGTGGTTGTCGGCATGACATTTATCAGCTTCAAAGCGATGATACTAAATGGGTTCTGATTTTCTCAGATAGGAAGATAAGAACCAAGTTGTGGCCTCATGTAACTTTCTGTTCGAAAATTAATTAAAAAAAATAGCACTTGTATATGTTTTTGTGTGGGGTTCAATGAGACTTGTGATTTGGATTTTTTGTGCCTTTCTTTTTTGTTTTTTCCCCCCTTTTCTTTTGTTGTAGGAGAAGCTTTTCCCTAAGGCCCAAGGAAACCGATTCTGGGGATCACAAACGGCTTCAATGTGATTCATAATGGGCTGAATTATTTCTGGTAAGTTGAGGACTTGGGCCTAAAAATCAAAGTTCCTCATCAAACCATAGTCCACAGCTACTACTGTGGTTAGCTGCTATCAACAGAAATTATATGAACTTGCAGATGGGCCAGGCTATCTTACAGTTCTCTAGCAAATGGGCAATTCAGAGAGCTCATTCATAATCTTTTTCCACAGATCCTTTATGTGAAGCATCTGCATCGTAGCACCTGTAATCTATTATCAAGTATTGACAGCTTACAGAGACACCATGGGCCCAAATGGTAATTGATTTAATCTATTATCAAGTATTGACAGCTTACAGAGACACCATGGGCCCAAATGGCAATTGATTTTTAGATATATCATTTACATGACTGAGAATGTGAGCCACCAATTTCTGATTCATCCAAGTAAGCGGAAGAGGTAGAGGTAGAGATGCTTGATATCAGATTCTGCACGCCACATGGCAATCAAGTAGCCAATTAGACATTATTTCTCCTATCCTTCAAGATAAGCCCCTGCATACATTAACAAATTTGCAACCCACCTCCATATACCATTCAAACACAGCACAAACGCTTCGGAAGGAAATCTTTTGGCCACAAAAATGGCTTCTGTTTGTGCTTCTTCTGCCATTGCAGCTGTTTCCATCTCTTCTTCCAGGCAAGTCCTCTCTCAAGTCTCAAATCCCATAAAGACCAACTACATTAATGATGCTACAACTATTAGCTTTGTGACATATGCTAAAACTTTTTTAAAGTATGTTAGAAATGATTCAATCCTAGTAAGTTGATCGTGCTCCTTCATTCTAGATTGACTCTTAATTACACTTGAATTTTGAACCATAGTTAGACAAGGAAGGATGCCGAAAAATAACGCTAGTTTTTTTTTTTAAGAAAAAAAAAGTGCTGTGAAGTGAATCACGTTAGAAAATATATTGCAGTTCCCAGAAGACTGGGTTCCTTGTTGGGTCAACAAAGGCTTCTTTTCTTAGTGGGAAGAAATTGAGACTGAAAAGGTACACAACGCCAACTGCAGCTCGATCAGTTACAGTTTGTGTTGCAGCTGACCCTGATAGACCCCTCTGGTTCCCTGGTAGCACCCCTCCTCCATGGCTTGATGGAAGGTCAGTTAAAGACTTGTGCTTTAGCCCCAAACCTCTCCTTCTTTCTTTTCATTCATGAAAACACTCAAGGGCTGCGCTATGCATCCTAAATTTTTGTTTAACTGTTTTCAACTGCAGCCTCCCTGGAGACTTTGGTTTTGATCCTCTAGGTCTTGGTAAGTGAGCTAATTAACCATGAGGTCCTGGCCATTTACTCAATATAACCAATCATGAAATACTTATGCATGTTGTGATTTGTCTGAAACAGGATCTGATCCTGAAACTCTGAGATGGAATGTGCAAGCAGAACTTGTTCACTGCAGATGGGCAATGTTAGGTGCTGCTGGTATTTTCATCCCAGAATTCCTAACAAAGATTGGCATCCTAAACACCCCCTCATGGTACACTGCTGGAGAACTTGAATACTTCACTGACACCACCACACTCTTCATTGTTGAGTTGTTCTTTATTGGCTGGGCTGAAGGGAGGAGATGGGCAGATATTCTCAAGCCAGGGTGTGTTAACACTGATCCTATCTTCCCGAACAACAAGCTCACTGGTACTGATGTTGGTTACCCAGGTGGGCTATGGTTTGACCCACTTGGATGGGGCAGTGGTTCTCCCGAGAAGATCAAGGAATTGAGGACAAAGGAGATCAAGAATGGAAGATTGGCTATGTTGGCTGTGATGGGTGCTTGGTTCCAACACATTTACACCGGCACTGGTCCTATCGACAACCTTTTTGCTCACCTTGCAGATCCTGGTCATGCCACCATTTTTTCTGTAAGTGCACCCCCTAGCACTCTAAACAATAGTAGTAACATGTAAATAATACAGCAAGAACAAGTTCGTTTTAAATTGAGCTGACTGTTACGAATGGTATGTTTCAGGCTTTCACCCCCAAGTGAGAAACACTGGTGAAGACGCTTACCTAATCAAGGAAGGTGCTTGAAATATTTGTATTTGTCGATGCAACCTTTGTATCATCGCTAGAACTTGTAATGTCTCTGATCGTTATGATTTCTCATAGAGTGCTGTTGCTATGTACAAAAACCACCCATTGAACTTAGATGTCACCGATATATTTGAGCTAGTAACAAAAGTTGCCCAGAAACGCAACCATCATGTACCACATGAAACTTCAGAGCTCGTCATCGCCAAGGCTCTCACCCACTGCCCATCCATCAATTTTTCAAATTCTGAGTGGAGGCATGGCATTTAACTCTCCATGTGCCAGTAATTTATTTAATATGAGGAAAGTAGAGCATCAATCCTGGTGAGATAATGTGCAAATTGAAGAGGTGATAATAAATCCATTTAACTCTCCAGTAGAGGGCTTATATCTCTTAGATAATGAGTTTTTTTTTTTTGATAATTTGATCTATTTTTCCTAACTAAAATGGTTAATTTAGTGCCTATGTCTATAAAAAATCTCATTTGATGAATTTTTTTAAAAAAATTAATGTTTAAATAAATATCTTTTTGAAAAAAAATTATCATATGTTAGAAAAAAAACTAAAAATAAATATATCATGAAAAATGGAGATTCAAAATCTACATTTGAAAGATATTCTCATTACTTTTATAGTTCATAAAGCCTTTTTTTTTAAAGGTTACAGTATAAATAAAATATCTCCAATTTATCTAAATAAAATATTTTTAGCTCATTGTATAATAAAATATTTCTAACTCATTATAATCATTAAGTCTAAAATTTTTTAGAGTTTAAAACAAAAAAACATGAATTTAGTGCTTGCTGAGTTCAAAGATAATAAATATAATAACTCAATTCATCCATTTATTTTTAGACACATTAGATGATTAAACCCAGATATAATTGAGTTTGGCAGCTCCAACGTTTAGCAACTCTTATCTTTATTTACTCTTTTAAAAGAGAAGCTCTAGATAAAAACAATTACAAATGAAATTAAATGTTGCGAAAATTAATTACCGAAAACAAAACAGATGCCAAGAAACAGAACACAACATTTAAACGGGTAAATAAAATAAATTATTTGTTTGAGATAGATTTAAATCATTTATTTCTAAAATTATTGTGAAAAAGGCGATGTCTACATTCAAATCTAAGTTTAATCTCCTCTGCTTTGAGTTAAACGAGTAGTGGCAGGCATCTTCATTATATGAAAACTAACTTTTCTTCTTCTTCTTCTTCTTCTTGTTTACTTTCCTTCATTTTACATTCTGTTTAGCAAGAGGCTAATAACAGGTCTCTAACAATGTGAGAGGCAAAGCAGCACTTTCATCCAACCCATCCTATAAAATTCCAATGAGGTCTGGGGTTATTGGCAGCGATCTCTTTATTTCTACTATCATAGTTCTAATTTTCAGCATTTACTTAAGATTAAACTTGTTTGCACCCCATGCATCAAGTAATCAAGTAAATCTTTTATTCAAGTCATTTTTACTGGGTTCGTCAAATAAATCTACTAATCGCAACGGGTATATATAGTAAATAAACGAACAACAAGTAATTAAAGTGTAATAATAAGAAGCTTTCATTCCCAATTATATCATAGTGATTAATTAATTGGTGACAATCACACCCACAAGCACTTTATACCCTCAGAACGTTTTTACTCGTGGAAAGCGCACCAGTTGCCTAACATCCAGTTCATACACGATACACCACAAAAATGGCTGAGTCGTACTCCAGAAATCATAGCACCAAACGACACAGATGGATTTGGTAAAGGCACACTGATCTTCATTCGAAGATTGGTATATATAGACTGGATTTCCTAATATGCAAGAATTCATTGTAAATTCTCAGCCATCTAGAAATAAATCAGAATCCACACACTACTAAGATATTCTCAAACACGCAAAAATTAACCTATGAGATGCCACTTCACAGAAACATTCATACACAGTATAAGCTTTAACAATAGAAACTATATGCCTGATCATAGAGAATCAATACCGAACATCATAAGCAAACAAGAATTCGACTACTTTAAACTTCTCAGTTGTCGATTTTTATAAGAATTTCAGTACTCAATGTATTCATCACTTTCATTGCAAGTTACAACCAACTAATCTTCCATCTCCTCTCCCTCTCTCCATCCAAGTATCTCTTCAACTTGTATTATATTACAATTTAATCTTTTCCAGAGTTTGGGAAAATCCGAAAAAGAAAAGAAGTTTCCATAGAAATATGAGAGAGAGCGAGAAATTAACTAATATTCACTACCATAACAGACCCGAAAACAAATCTTTAAGGCACGAACCGGGTCAAGATGGGCGGTTTGGTGACCGCATAGAGATTTGAACCGGAATAGGCCGACCAGTACCTGTCCCGCCGCAGCTACTACACGCCATGCGACCTGAACCAGAACAAGTCCGGCAACCCACATCTCGGTCTGACCATCGGGAACAAAGACAAGCGACTCGACCCGTGCCGTTGCAAGATAGGCACGTCGGACCAGCCATGGGCTTCTGGCCCATAACCGACTTGACCAGAACCGCCCCGGCTAGCACACTAAGACCCGTTGCCAACTGGGTCAAAACAGTCGGTTCCATTATCCTTCAGAGAACAAAAACTAACAAGACGGGGAGAGAGATACGAGTTGTGCAAGAGAAGATAGAAAGTGAGTTTGATTTCTTGTTTGTTTGGATGGTAAATCTTGGTTTGGTTTTAAGGGAAGGGGTGATAGAAATCTAAACGTAGACGCGTGAGTGTTTGGTGGTGGCTGGGAGTTGTTTTTGTAGTGTAGTGAACAATATTTTATATCATTTTATTTTTTGGTGGGCGACGTTGCTGCTTCTTCTTGTTTGGAGTTGATTTTTTCTTGGTGTGTCAGCTTACGATTACATTATTGCTTTTGCTAGTAGACTTCTCCAGATGGACCACGTCTGCTTTTGCTAGTAGACTTCTCCAGATGGACCACGTCTGCTTTTGCTAGTAGACTTCTCCAGATGGACCACGTCTTCTTTCCTTGTTTGGAGCGTTTCACATTTTACTTGTCACTGCTGTTTGATACCCGGACGGCTGTCCCATCTTTTATCCATGTTCCATGTGTTGATGGCCCTTCATATGCTTTCCTTCCATAACCGTCATATATGTTTATTAGCAAAAAAACTCTCCTTTTTTTTTTGCTCGTTCATTCCTATTTAGAAATGTAGTAAAAATTATTTTTTTAATTTTAAAATTTATTCTTGATATGAATTGAAAGACATAAAAAATAATTAAAAAATTAAAATTCTTTAAGAATGCGGCTGTAGCGAGTGACAAACGGAAGATTTCAACTTTCATAACCGTCATATAAGTTCTCAATAAAAAGTAAAACTACTAAGGTTTCTTATTATTGGTTAATGAAGGCAAACTCTCGACTACTGTATAAAACACTTGTCTAAAAGCTGGATAGTTTATTGTCAAATAATTGGCCGTTACGTACCCACAATTCGCTTCTTTTCAAACCCTAAAGATCTACCGATATTGCATTAGTCAATCATTGCCGAATGTTTTTATATTATATCGAGCGCGTGCTTCCGGCTGACTTGGAATTATTATGCACGTACCTTCCAGGCGAAAACAGCGTGTGTGAGCCAAGCACTGGGAAGATTACAAGAAATTTTCGGCACGAGTCTTATCAGCAGGATTTGACGTTTGAGGAGTTCATTGCTCAAAATTACAGAAATAATGAACAATCTGCCCCAGCTAGAGTTAGATACCATTCCATTGGTGTGTGAAGGTAGCCATTCACACATGGTTACTGGGGACTTGAAGGAGAATACTCTTTACTGATTTGGTAGGGGAGAAGAGTAGCAGATAGAAAAATTAAAACCTCTCTTCTTGAAATCATTCCAATTGAATCTTTAATCAAATCTCGCATTTGAAAGAGAGGGGGAGAGAGAGAGAGAATTTAATACTCTCAAAAAACTTGTCTGATGTTAATGTTGATTCTCGAGGTTCTGATGAACTCTTACAAATCTTTCTCATCACAGAAATGTGATTCAAGGGTTGCGATTTCAGTATTTTCTTTGTTGGAAAAGATCCTAGCTAGGCACGCCTGTAATGATCAGAAATCAAAGCAGGGAATTAATATGCAACAAAATTAAATACGCAGGAACAGAAGTCACTAGAACAGCAGGCTAAGCACAATTATGTCAATTAATTTTTGCAATTGATAATTACCTGGTGTCAAATAGTTTACTATCGCACCTTCTGGCTGAAATTCTTCTCACATGGGCGTTGCAGGAGCAGCCATTTTCTTAGCCAGCTGACAGAGTTCATCAGGGATCTTGTTATGTGGAAGAGATAGTTTGTAGTAACGCTGCACCACACAAAAAAAAAAAAAACACATTTAAATTCATTTCAAGTTATATATAAGAAGCATACCTTCTAAAAGAAATGCGGCGTCAATACATTTCAGGTGTTACAGAAATCATCCTCTAAAAGATGATGATGACAAATAAACTAAAATACAAAAAGGACTAGCTTGGATCTCTAGTCAAGTAAGGTGGCTTGATATGGATTTGAGCAGCAATGTTTAAGTGGTTAAAGACTATCTTCTTACATGCAAATGTGTTCTTAAACTGCGGTAAGTTGACAATACTTTCTGTGCACAAAAAAAGTGGACAATTGTTTTCACCAGAGACTGATTAAACTGAGCTGCTATCTCCAGGCACAAGCTCTCAAAATCCTACGTAAAAGCAAATTAAACTGTTACTTTCAGACATGCTTATGTCTTAAACATTATGCACCTCTTAGTAGGAAATCAGGGAATAGTCTTGATAGCAAGTTTATTACAATCACTTCATGTGAAGTATAAACATTGTTCCAGAAGTCACACCGTACCATGCCGAGGCTGTATATTGAGTGATCAAATTCCAGGGCATTCATAATGCATTGGGACAGGATGGGCGTTGTAACCAGTAAGCAAACGCCTGGGTTGCAATGCCAAAATTAAACCTTACAGAAGCAACAGGGGACTACATAAAATAAAAGGGTCCATGCTTCATACTAATTAAAGCATCTACACTAATTTGTCAGCCAGAAAAAGTCTAATGGACAAGCTCAAACACAAAACTTCCAAATTAAACAGAAAAAGACTGATGGGCAATGCCTAAACCCTAAAGGCATTGCGCTCTGCCTTTTCACTGTAGCATGAAATTGAATGATCAATGAACAAAAATCTCATAATACAAACAACAGATGCATGCTGGTACATGATGGAAGATTACAAAACTAGCATAGGTATAGCAAAAGTGAAAGCACTTACCTTAGACCAGTCAAATTGCAGTCCAAGGGTACTCCACCGCAACTTCCGCAATAAAACAGAAGCTGAAACGGACTTTCATGTCTTTCCTCCTGATGAACTATCTTCCTCACGAACACCACCTATGAGCATCTCCATTGCTGACAACCACTGGGCCTAGAGGTCAAACTATGGGGCGCATTTTCGTCCTCCGCCAGCACTTTCCTCTCTTTCTCCGCAGTAAACAGGTCACTTGGAGGCCCATGGATTGCTTTGTGATTAGTTCTATTGGGAGGCTGCGGGAAACTTATTTAGCTCTTCCTTATCCATTGGCATTACTCATCAACACTCAATGCCCCATGAGTGAAATAAAAACCTGCGAAGTTTTTGCCTTTTCGATTAAACATACTTAAGAAGCCTTGTTTCTCATCGTGGTCCAATCATGATTTAAAAATAAATGAGTTTTTTAATTTTAAATTAATTTTTTTATATTCTTTTATTCTTTTGATATCAAAAATAAAAAAATATTATTTTAATAATTTAAAAAAAAAAATTCCACACTTACACTAGCACTCCCAAACATACCTTAAATCAATCTGAATTAAAAAGAAAAGAAAATATATTTAAATCAACGATTAGCATTTCCAAACAAGCAACTACTTCCATGCATCGACTCATAATTACGCAATTTAAATTTACTTTAGACTAGCTAGCATGGAAAATGCAAGATTGGTACCAGGCCGACTTACCAAGCCGAAGACAGGTTGATCAAAACTTCAATAAAAACGATAATCCAAGGAGGTAGTTAATTTACCGTTTTGACGAAATTGACTTGAAATCTAAAACCTTTGACAAGTCTACTTGCTTGGGTTGCTTCTTCCTGAGGAGAAAAAAAATAGAATTCGATATTAGCTCGATTAATTAAACGCAGAATTAACAAAGCACGTTTTTCATCAATTTTTTGTTCACATATTAAAAAATTTATGTTAACTACTTATTTTATCAATTTAATCGTATAATTTTAATAAATTAAATATCACATGTCACCTAACGAATAACAATGAAATTTAAAGAAGAGAGCAATGCCATAATGTAAAGTTATTATAGAATTATCTATACATTCTCAAACAGGATAGATTTACACATATAGGATAAATTAAGTAATTTATCATATATTTTTATCAAAAAAATATTAGATTAAAAAAAATTTACAAGTATAAATTTTCTAGAATACAAGCACATCTCAGTGAAGATACGTTGAGTCTCGTGCTAGACAGATTCAACCACAATTAAGCTTAACAGTGTATTAAATTGTTGCGCATACTGGACCAAAAGCAAACACAAATAAAACACAAACAACAGATTTACGTGGTTCCCCAAAATCGGGTACGTCCACGGAGGCAGCAGATTGTATATTATTGGAGGAATGATACAAACACTCAACTCAATCCAGTACAATCCCACTTAACCGGGTGTTTCACTCTTACACTCGGTGTTTCTCTCAAATCTGTATTTTTTTCACTCTCACAGTTGCACTCACCACACTTTCACCCTTTTGCTCTCACCACAATTTCACTACTCTTATTACATTTCTCTCTCTTTATCTCTATTTATAGGAGAGCCTTGGCAACTTGGTTGAGGGTGGTTGAGGGTGGTTGATGGTGGTTGAATGGTGGTTGGAAGTGGTTGATGGTGGTTGTTAAAGGAGAGGGTGGTTGATGGTGGTTGAGAAAAAATGTTGACAATTTGCTACAAATCTCCACCTTGGCAAGATTTTTCCATCCAATCTTTGTGATCAATCAATGCTGCCTCTAATGCGCCATATGGCGCTGCACCCTGAAGGTGCTCAACACCGAGAGATGTTGACCAAGTCCAAACAATGTTGGAACTTGATCCCTGAGACACATTTTGTGAGCATGTCAGCTGGATTATCTGCGGTACCAATCTTCTGTAGCAGAATATCTCCTTCATCCACAATTTCTCGAACAAAATGAAATCGAACATCGATGTGCTTGGTGCGGGAATGATGAACCTGATTCTTTGCAAGACAAATAGCACTTTGACTATCACAATGGACATTCACGTGCTCTTGAACAATTCCCAAATCTTCAATCAACCCATGTAACCATATAGCTTCCTTGAAAGCTTCTGTTACTGCCATGTACTCTGCCTCAGTTGTTGACAAAGCTACTGTTGATTGTAAAGTTGACCTCCAACTTACAGGCCCTTTAGCAAGTGTAAACACATAGCCTGTTGTGGAACGACGCTTGTCTAAGTCACCAGCATAGTCCGAATCCACATAACCAACTAAATTTTGTTTGAGTCTATCATCCCTCTCAAACTTCAAACCAATATCAGTTGTGCCATGAATGTACCGTAGAATCCACTTAACTGCCTGCCAATGACCCTTTCCCGGATCATGCATATACCTGCTCACCATACTGACTGCATGTGAAATATCTGGTCTCGTGCAAACCATTGCATACATTAATGCACCAACTGCATTTGCATACGGAATTTGAACCATATGCTTGCGCTCTTCCTCTGTGCGTGGAGACATTGAAGCACTTAGCTTAAAATGAGAAGCTAAAGGTGTACTTACAGGCTTGGTCTTACCATCTACCCCAAATCTCTTTAGAATTTTCTTCAAGTATTGGGTCTGTGTCAAACAGATTGTGCCTTTTCTTCTGTCTCTCTGAATCTCCATGCCAAGAATCTTCTTAGCTTCTCCAAGGTCCTTCATTTCAAACTCAGTTCTCAGTTGAGCTTTCAGTCTATCAATCTCCACTTTGCTCTTTGATGCAATCAACATATCATCCACATATAAGAGCAAATAGATGAAAGAACCATCAAGAAGTTTGCGAAAATATACACAATGATCAAACTGACTCCGTGTGTATCCATGTTCTATCATGAACTTGTCAAATCGCTTATACCACTGGCGAGGAGATTGTTTCAATCCATACAATGACTTCTTCAGTTTACAAGCCCAATTCTCTTTCCCAGTGACTTTGAAACCATCTGGCTGAGACATGTAAATTTCCTCTTCCAAATCTCCATATAGGAAGGCAGTTTTCACATCAAGTTGGGCTAACTCCAAATCAAACTGTGCAACCAAGGCTAGCAGAATACGAATTGATGAATGCTTAACAACTGGGGAGAATACCTCATTATAATCTATCCCCTCCTTCTGAGCATAGCCTTTTGCTACCAATCTTGCTTTGAAACGGATGTTGTCTTTTCCTGGATTACCTTCCTTCTTAGCATATACCCACTTGCAACCAATTGTCTTCTTTTCCTTAGGGAGTTGTACCAAATCCCAAGTCTGATTCTTGTGGAGAGATTTCATCTCTTCATCCATTGCCTCTTTCCATTTTGCACTTTCTACACTCTGTACTGCCTCTTTGTAGGTGCAGGGGATTCCATCATCAATCACCGGAAGTGCATAAGCCACCATGTTACAATACCGAGCGGGTTTCTTGATAACTCTTTTCGGTTTACTCGTTGCAATGGATTCTTGTTGTGTGGTTGCTGAAGTTGTTGCATCCTCTTCATCTGAACTTTCATCTGAATCTCCTTCAGTAGAGATTGTCTGAACAGTCTTTATAGGAATGACTGAAGTCTCCAACTCCACCTGTTGTGCATCACCAGACTGTTTTTCCTTCTCCTGTGATTTCTCTTGTTGTAACATGCCAGACTCATCAAAAGTGACATCTCTACTCAAAATCACTTTCTTTGATTCAGAACACCAGAGTCTGTAACCTTTTACTCCTCCACTAAAGCCCAAAAATATAGCTTTCTTGGCTCTAGGATCTAGCTTGGACTCAGTAACATGATAATATGCTGAGCAACCAAATATACGCATAGAGTCATAATCATTTGCAGGAGAGCCTGACCATACCTCTAAAGGGGTTCTTCCATTTAATGCTGCTGAAGGTAACCGGTTAACAATATGACGAGCATAGCTTAATGCCTCGCCCAGAACACTTTGCTTAGTCCTGAATGTGATAGCATACATCGGACTTTCTCTACCAATGTGCGATTCATGCGTTCTGCTACTCCATTTTGTTGTGGTGTTTTACACACAGTAAAATGTCGTTTGATCCCTTCATCCTGGCAAACTTTAAAGAAAGGATCTGAAGTGTACTCACCACCATTATCTGACCGAAGAGTCTTAACTCTCCTTCCCGTTTGAGTCTCCACCATTTTCTTCCATTTCAGAAAGATATCAAGGACCTCATCCTTGTGTTTCATCATGTACACCCATACTCGTCTTGAGAAATCATCAATAAAAGTAACAAACCAACGATTACCTCCAAGAGATTCATTCTTTGAAGGTCCCCATACGTCTGTGTGAACATAATCAAGAATCCCTTTTGTATTGTGTACCGCAGTGCCAAACTTGACTCTTGTCTGTTTTCCAAGAACACAATGCTCACAGAACCCATGCTTCCCAGTCTTGGCGCCTTTTAATAGACCTTGTTTGACCAATCCTTGCAAAGCCTTTTCACCAGCATGCCCTAAACGCATGTGCCAAAGTCTGGAATTATCTGCTTCATCATCTTCTATGCTTTTGGAAACAGCTGCTGTACCGGTAACAGTAGATCCATCCAGGAAATATAAGTTTCCTTTCCTCGTGCCTCTTAAGACAACTAATGCACCACGGATTGCTCTCAGGACTCCACCATGCATGATAATCTTATAACCATTGGATTCTAGGACTCCAAGTGAGAAGAGATTTTTCTTCAGGTCAGGTACATACCGTACCTCTGTCAGTGTCTTGACTACCCCATTATGCATCTTCAGATGGATAGTCCCAATCCCTTTGATCTCACAAACATCATCATTACCCATCAACACAACTCCTCCATCGAACTCCTCGAGTCTCGAGAATAAGTGCTTGTTAGGGCACATGTGATAGGAACATGCAGAATCAAGAATCCATTCACCAGAATGGTTTTCTGGTGATGAGACCATGAATGCAGAGTCTCGTTCATCCTCATCTCGTGCAACGTTCACAGTTGGTTCATCTTTTTCCTTATTGCCCTTGATCGGACAATCTTTCTTCCAGTGCCCCTTTTTATGACAAAAGGCACACTCATCCTTTGCAAGATATCGTCTGTTTGATGATTCTCCTCTGGATTTTGAGCGAGATCTCCCTCGCCCTCGAAATCTTCTAGGGTTTGTTCTGCCTCTAACTGTCAATGCTTCTGACGTTGACTCTTTGTGAACAATCTGATCCTTCTTCCGGTACTCATTGTTCACCAAAGCATTGGACACATCAATGAATTTAATCTTTTCTTTACCATACAGTAAAGTGGTGACGAGATGTTCATATGTGTCAGGCAGTGAATTCAATAACAGCAGAGCTTTATCTTCATCATCAATTTCCACATCTAAATTCTTCAAATCAGCTATCATTTTATTGAAATCATTCAGATGCTCATTCATAGAAGTACCTTTCTTGTGCTGAAAGCGGAAGATCCTTTTCTTCAAGTAGAGACGATTCTCTATACTCTTCTTCATAAACTTGTCCTCCAGTGCTTGCCATAATTCCTTTGCAGAGTTTTGTTCTGAAAAGGCGTACTTCTGATCCTTTACAAGACAAAGTCGGATGGAACTGCAAGCTAACCGATTTATCCTTTCCCAGCTTTTATCATCCAAATCCTCCGGTTTATCTTCTAGAGTGAAATCCAAATTCATTTGGACAAGCATATCCATGACTTCACATTTCCACATGCCAAAATTACCCTTCCCATCAAACTTCTCCACCTCAAATTTGGTACTCGATACCGGGATATATTGTGGAGGTATACTAGCATTTCCCACTAATTTTTCTTCTGGAATATCAGCCATTAGGACGTCTTTGGATTACAAATAGGCTCCCGAAATTGTTAAAACATGCACTTTTATGCTCAAAAGAGCCAAAACAGTAACTTTGGTGTGCTGTTTCACAAAACGGACACCACGGTTGCGTCCGGAATGGTTGAAAATGCTAGGAACCAACTTGACTCGGCCTAAAACCGGTCAAAAAATCACTGAGTTGGCCAAAAAATCAATCTGACCGAGTTAACTCAGGGAAGGAATATTCTGTCTCTGATGAAGAATATTCTGTCACGGAATATTCTCTTACTGTCAACGGAATATTCTTATTCTGTCAAGAGAATATTCTGTCACTGTTAGATGATGTGTCTGATGACATGGCAATGTGGACCCTCTGTTGATGACGTGGATGGTGACTCAGCGCCAACGTGTCGGATGACGTGGCTGTCTTCTCAGGTGAGATTTCCGGCACTGTCTGGTTTTTCCGGCAGATTTCCGGCGAAACTTCGGCGAGCTCTACAGGGCTCGTTTCAACTCCGATTTTGATGATCTTTATATCGCCGGACTCGTATCAACGAGAGGAATCTCCACAGGTGGTCAAAATCAAGATCTGAGAACTTTGAAAATTCTGCAACTTTGAACAAAGAGCTGAAAAAAGGTGTTTTTTTCAGTGTTCAAGCTTCCCTGATGCTCTGATACCAATTTGTTGCGCATACTAAACCAAAAGCAAACACAAATAAAATACAAACAACAGATTTACGTGGTTCCCCAAAATCGGGTACGTCCACGGAGGCAGCAGATTGTATATTATTGGAGGAATGATACAAACACTCAACTCAACCCAGTACAATCCCACTTAACCGGGCGTTTCACTCTTACACTCGGTGTTTCTCTCAAATCTGTATTTTCTCACTCTCACAGTTGCACTCACCACACTTTCACCCTTTTGCTCTCACCACAATTTCACTCCACTTATTACATTTCTCTCTCTTTATCTCTATTTATAGGAGAGCCTTGGCAACTTGGTTGAGGGTGGTTGAGGTTGGTTGATGGTGGTTGAATGGTGGTTGGAAGTGGTTGATGGTGGTTGTTAAAGGAGAGGGTGGTTGATGGTGGTTGAGAAAAAATGTTGACAATTTGCTACAGGCTTCAGACCATCATCAACACCCTCATGTCTGACAGTGTCTTGAACTCCCTTGGTGCTCGATTCCCTAGCTTTAGGGGCCTTAGAACATTTGTCAGTTGTGTGGCTAAGAATTCTGCAAGTGACAGTGGAGGAATGCCCTGATGATGAGGATTTTGAAGAGGAAGCGGTTGATTATACACTCTAAGATGAAGAATTAGAAGGGGGAACACCTCATGCTAGCAGCGATGGTGTCTTCATGTCCCCTAGTGTTGGAGTTAAAAATGATGATTCAGTGGCTGCTGCTCAAGTTACTCTTCCTTATTCAGGTATTTCTAAGCCTGTAGAACCTGCTGCGGGGAAATGGAGAGACATGTTCTCCTCCAACCGTAACACAGCTAATTGTCCCACAATTGTTCATTTTTCTGATTCCAGTAATGCTGAGAATTATACCTTGTTAGATGGTGACTTAGACAATAACTGTGATGTTTGGAAGTTATGTGTTGTGGCCAATGTGGCGGGGAAATTTCCTGGGTTCAAAGCTCTGACTAGTATGATAGGAAACACCTGGAAATGTGATGCTTCTTTGACTATACATGATTCCGGAAGGCTGATTAACAAATTCAATAATGAGGATGATAAGCTTTTTGTTTTATCTGGTGGTCCTTGTTTGGTATATGGGAGACCTTTGGTGTTGAAGTCTATGCCTGAATATTTTGATTTTGCTTCTAATGAGATGACCAGGTACCTGTTTGGATAAAATTTCCAAACCTGCCTTTCAAATGCTGGTCCTTAATATATTTATCAAAGATTGCTAGTGTTATTGGAAAAACTCTTTAATGTGGTAAGTTAACTTCTACGACGTCAAGGCTCTCCTATGCTAGAGTATTGGTTGAGCTAGACCTGCTTGGTAACCTGATTTATTCCATTAATGTCATTCTGCCTAATGGTGATACTCATGTACAATCGGTTCATTATGAAAACCTGTCCAAATTCTGCAAGCATATTATTATTATTAACATTATTATTGTATTATTAGAAATATTATCGTCACTATCATTACAACTATTATAATTATCATTATTAGTATTATTATTATCATTATTATTGTTGTTGTTGTTGTAACAAAAATCATAAACTTGATTTTAAAAATAAAATAAAAAATCACAAAAACTTTGACAAAAAAACAAAGAAAAAAATAAAAAAAATAAAAAAAAATGGTCCAAACTAAAATTAATATTATTATTATTGAAAAAAATCATAAAATTAATTGAAGGATAAAATTAAAAACTATAAAATCTTTAAAAAAAAAAACAAGAAAAAAAATAAGAAATTAAAAGTAGAATGACCAAATTAAAAAACATTATATATACAAATTAAAATTGAAGGATTAAATTGAAAATAAATAAAACTTTAACAACAGATAAAAGGACCAAAATCAAAACTAAAAGGATGAATTCTACAAAACTTGTAATAATGAGGGTTGCATTTAGTTTGTTTTTCATAAGAGAGAAATGAAAGGAAAAAAAAAAAGTTATCAACTGACCACTTTTACATGACACGCATCACCTAATAAAGAGAAGGACATGACGAAGAATAAAGTGAGACAACGAAAACATATTTTTAACCACTAAGAGACATCGTATATGCCACCCAAAATATGCAACGCTTCCCATATGCTATAGCCTTTTTAATTTTAAAAATAATTATTAAATAATAAATTACATTATCACCCTTGACCAAACTAACAATTACAAAAAAATTAATATGAAAAGATGCTAATACCTCTATGTTAATGGTTAATTTTTTTAACCCCAGGGTCAAATATGTAATTTTACTTTATATCAAAAAAAGTGAAATGCCTAATAAGACCTTTGAGTAGAGTTAAATGTTTTTTTTAAGGGTATCAAAGTCATTTTCCTATGCAAAAGCAAGCCTGAAAAATTCTTAAATGATAAATGATCTAAAGAAAAATATCATTTTACCCTAAAAGACAGTAATATAAGAGTTTTTTCATGGTGCAAAATCATTATTTTATTATTACAATCCACAATAAACAAAGGCATATATAGAATGATTATCCCACATATTTTAACCTTTTTTGTTAATACCTCTTTAGAAAACTTGAAATAATATCCAAATTTGGTTTGGAATTCATAATATTGTTAGTATATACTAGCTATTTGACTTATGCTTTGCCACGAGTTAGATAATTTTTTTTTAAAAAAAGAAATATAAGTAGGTTTTTTAAATTGTTTTTTTAAGAAACCTTAATAATAAATAAATAAAACCTATAGATACATTTAATTAAATAAATTGAAAACTATTTATGTTAATAAATGCAAAGAAGTGTTAACGCGTTTATTTAATTCAAGTTAAACACTTTTTTTCCAATAAAAAAAATAAATGTATAGGTGATGCTAATACTTTTTTTAACATTAAGGAAAAAAAATTATGAATAAAAAAATAGATGATTATATATAACAAAATACAATGAGTATTATATGTCTACACGCCATATGCTTATATAGTTAGAATTTAATGACTTTCTCTCTCATCTTTTTAACACAATGATTCAAAAAAAAAAATTCCTATCAATAATGAATTTAAAAAATCTATAGGAACGAAAAATGTATAATTGAGAAAGTAGGACCACAATTAATTTTTTACGTAAACTTTAAAACTACCTCCTATTTTTTTCATCTTCTTCACTTTGGTCTTATCTTTTGGTTTTATTATCCCTCAGCAATCTTACTAAAATTGGCCCTCAATTTAACCTATGAGCTTAAACTAGGGGAAGAGCTCGGTTTTTATGGGTTCAGTTATATTTAACGTCTTGAATCTTAATTTCTCTACCTCTTTTAAGTGTATAAAAATTTTACAATGATCATCATATTTTCATCAAATATTAATATAAATATTCATTAAATATTCTTAAAGTAAAATTATACTTTAAACTCTTCTCTTCACAAAAAAACAAGACTGATTAAATATAAATATATCATGAGACATTTAGAATAAAGATTCACAAACTTTATTCTCTATTATATATATAGCATCTCTTTCTAAAATATTATTATATTTTTTTTAAAAAAATATTTATTTAAGTATTAGAAATTCCTCACCTCCATAAAAAAATAATCTTTTACTAGTATTAATTATAAGCACCTTAATCTAATAATCATTATCTACACGCTATCAACTATTTAATTGAATATAATAAATTAAATTAAAAAAATTAATTAAGTAACCAATTATCTAGACTACTTGAATGTTTTATATATATATATATATTATGGAATTTAGGTAAGATTTAATTAGATAAATCGAATTTAGTCATGTGAGTTATTTTTCTATTTAAATTAAAATTTAATTCAAGTCATACTTTAGACCGAGTTTAACAGGGCACGGCGGAAGGCCCCCTCAAGAAGCTGTGCTCAAAGCTATTTCTGGTTTGTCTACTTCTTCTTCTTCTTTGGCCTTTTGGGTATTTGAATAGAATTTGTCTGGCATTTTAATTTTTAACATGATAAACTGCGGTCATTTAGTTAAATGGATTAGAATGACAATTTGTTTGTTGGAAACAAGGGCATGTGATGTAATGTAACCGGAGGAGTTTATTTCTCTGTTACTACAATTCTTTTGACTGTCCTATTTAATTTTTTTTAGTATTGTTATTATTATGCTTTAATTCATGATAGCCAAATGTGTTTTCCCAATTATTTATTTCTTGTATTTTATTAGTACTGCTATTTTGGACAGTTCCGGGTTAATTGAATTTGTTGTGAAGTTTTTATATGCCAAAGGTTAATGGATATCAATGCTTTCAGCTGATTCTTGTTGTATTCCATTTGGTCTTGTTATAATTTGTGTGAAGCATACAGTCACATATTGATAGAAACTTCTGTTGATGATACAGAGGTATCAAGGACAGAAGGGAGGGTTGGACAAACCACAAATGTGGTTATTGGTGGTACGGTAGCAGATGATTCTACTAATGAATGGCTTGCTTTGGATAAGAAGGTACAGATGCTTGACCTCTTTCGATTACCATTCCCTTTCTTTGTTAGCTTATTGATTTTATTACTTGTTAGACAATATTCTTTATTTTGTTTTCGTATTCGACCTCTATTCCATGTCAAATAATATTAATCATAACTGCTCGCGGACATCTGTAACAGATATTGATTTTGTTACACTTTAGAGTCTAGATTTTTATTATGCATGGTCTATGAAGTTATGATCTTGTAGACACTGTTCTTATGTGTTTGTCAAACTCGTACAAATTTGGCATCTGAACAGTAGTATTATTTACCTTCCAGGTAAACTCATATCCAACAGTTAGAGGATTTACTGCAATAGGTACAGGAGGTGATGATTTTGTGCAAGCTATGGTTATTGCTGTTGAATCTGTAATTCAACAACCAATCCCTGAGGTATATGTCCTTTCTTTTTGCTGCAAATAATTAGTAGAAAAGACATATAAGATGGCAGTGCGTTGAAAGAAGTAAACTGCAAGGAGACATGTATTGTGTCTTTTCTTGTTAATGTTGAATCCTATTTGTTTTTTGCATTACCTACAGGATTGTTAATTTCATTTTCGTTTTTTTATTGAAGTTTTCATGTTTTTGTTTTTGTAGGCTGTTCATTTATATTTCCTTACACTAAGGTTTTTTTCATTAAATATCATGAGTGGTCTCGTCCAATATCTATTTGGCATTAGAATTTCATAAACACGTGAAAAGTAATGGATGCTCTAGCACATAGATATCGAACAGAGGTGCTCATTGTCTGCCAATACAGAGTATTGAACATAGATATCGAACAGAGGTGCTCATTGTCTGCCAATACAGAGTAGTTCTTTCAGTAGCATGTTATGCTTGCGAGAGTAGATGACGATGCATTCTGTATGGTGTTGTGCTTTATCCTATGTGATTGAAATTAATGGTTGGCTTCTGTAACTCGCATGATTAGTTGAAGGTTGCTCCCCATAATTGATTGCATTCGTCAGATCTAAAGTGATTGATAGAAGAAGGTTTTAGGTGGAGAATCTCTGGCCATTACATCTTTTATCCAGAAATTAGAGATACTATAAGTGTTTCATAGACTGCAATGGTAATTTATATTTCGCATCGAGAAAAGAAATCTTTCTTTTCTACTAGGAATATGAGGAAGAACCTTTCTCATAAAATCTGGTCTATTAATAACTTTCTATTCCAACATAGAACGAAAAGGACAATATACAGGGCTTTAAATACAGAAGGGAAAATGTATTTAAAGAAAGTGATTGGTTTGCTTATTTGTGGTTTTCTACTGGAAATTTCTCTGCAGAAATTTGAAAACAGAAACTGCATGGTCTGAACCAAGTTATCCTGTTAGTTTTTCAAGATATGATAGGTTCCAAACCAAGTTATCTTGTTAGCTTAGGGAAACATGGATTTGGGTTTCAGAATTGTTAAGTGGATGATTTCCATGCCTTTGTTTTTCCACATCCAGCTTGAGGGAATGACTACTAGTCCTGCTCTAATGTAAACCTTAATGATAACATGTGAGTAGTGAAATTCCTCATCATATAGCTTGCAATTATGGAAGATTGCCATGTCATCAGCTGTGCTTTGCAGGTGGTGCATTACCAAACCATTTCTCATCAAATAGTTTGGTGAGTCTAGGATTTGAAGCACAAGCCTTGGATGATGGGACTAGAATACACATGCCATATGAATCTGTTGGTTAACAGTTACAAGTAGTAATGAGGAAGGCCTGTTTGAGAATAGCATGCTGGCCACAAATTGGCAATGGTAGTTATGCACATCCAGGGCTAAACAATAGTGGTCAAAGATGTTGTAAGGGTTGGTGTTGAAAGTTTTTGGCAGATACAAGCATTTGTAATTTTTGTTGATGTTGCAAATGGAAACAGATGCCACATATTTTATCTGTCATCATTATTATGCCTCAACTTATGGCTAAAAAACAAATTTTGTCTTCTTCCTTCTTGAAACACTAATGGTTGACTTTACCATTAAAGTGATTAAACTGTTAGACAACAATATGAACCTTGTCAGAAAAAAAAGCTTAATTTCTCAATTAGATTACTGTTTTGGATGTGTCAATCTCGCTGTCATGCTGTGGCTCTTGGTCGGTTACATAGAAAGAAATGTTATATTTAAAGGCATGTTTGCGTTACTTATGCTGTCCAGGTAGGGGAAAAAAAGGAAAAGCTGAGATTGCTATCAATTTATTGTAATTTCATCAATATAAGAGTCTTTATCTTAGAACATGGTGAATTTTTTTACTCTCAGTATTGCAGTTTGAAGAAATAAGTTGACCTATTGAACTGATGCCGATTGTTTCAAAATGCTTACCTGTTCTTGAAAATCTTGACACCTTTTAAAAATAAATATAACCAGATTGTTATTAAACTAGATGATCTTTCTTTCATTTTTTTTTTTTGGCAACCTTTTTCTTTGATTGCAGATCTGAGTTACTTGTTGAATTATCTGCCTAGAGCTTGTATTATAAACAAGTATCTAATTACATTAAGCCACTTTTTTTTCCAGGGTCGAGTGAGGCAGAAAGTATCTTCAAGGGGCAAATATGTGTCAGTCAACATCGGTCCTGTTCAAGTTGTTTCTAGTGAGCAGGTCTCTCTCTCTCTCTCTCTCTCTCTCTCAGGCACGTAAAAGATATTGATGAGACATAGTTTTTAGCTTTTTATGGAAACAAAAGGAAAGAAAAGGGGCTGATATGTCTATATATATATTTATGCTTAATAAATGATATGTTGATTATTTTGCGCAAGATATCAATAACACCTGGTGATAATTTGTTGACATGGAACTTCTCGTTCTGCCAGGTTCAAGCTGTATACAATGCCATGAGGAGAGATGATCGGATGAAGTACTTTTTGTAGTATGAAACTCCTTTTGTTTTGTATAGAATGCCGATATGTGGGGCTGAAAGATTTGCCTCTCTTTTAAGATTTCCAGTCTTTCTTTCCCAGTTATGTTATTTGATAAGCACAGGTGTTATTAGTTAAGAAATCTTGATTCAATATGATCTGTTAGATATTTATTTGAGATGTATATTATAATGATTTGATAATCACAAAATAGGGAGCAAATACCTTTTGTAATTTCATGCTTGATCTACAATAGATAGATTGGCTATGGATAAAAACTATATCGAGCATGGTTATGAATTTCTTTCTTCATTTTCTTTTTGTGGTTTGCAATTACTTGGAGGGCAGGGAAGTCTTGTTTTGAGTTTGTTGAACTTGGGGTTTTTATGTGTATTGACTTCTATGGAAGTCCAGAAAATGTGATGCAAGGAAATTCTGTGTAATTGTGGCTTTATGTTAATTCCGGCTCCTAACACCAGGTAGTCATGACTACATCACAGTTAGCATGCATTGTGGCTATGCTTTTTTATCATATCCCAAAGGTTCTTCCATTGCAAAACTAGCAATATTGATCATTCCCATTTTTATATGTAGGACTGGCATATTTGACTTTGCACCTGCTTGTAACTTCCGTGGATGGGTCCCAGACTGATATCAGGTGCTTATAACGGTATAGACTTTGTTGGTTTGCATTGTTTCTTGCCTCAACTAACACATGCTCGTAGTGGTAGAGGGACAACTCTGTTAGTAAGAAGTGTTCTTATAGTCAAGCTAATAACAATTTCTACAGTTTATCAGGCTTTATTACAAGGGACTGTTTCTGCTACCATAGTCTAAGTCAAGGTATGCTGTATGACATCAGAATCGGTTAAAGTTCGCTATTAGATACAGGTATGAAATATGATTTTGTATGTAAGGGCTCATAATTTGATGTTGATTGAGGTGAGTCGTTGGAAAATACTTGCAAAGATGCTGTTTTAAATAAAACTCTAAACGCATAACCTTGTGGAGTATTGACTCAGTCATCTAGTTGGTTGTCTGTAGTTTTATTTCACCTAGTATTGAGTATTGACTGGTCTTACAGAGCAGCTACAGTCACCCTAGTTCTGCTATGCGGCTGATCGTTTGCAAATTGTAATTAGGCAGTCCTAGCACTTTCAGATTAGAGGCAAAGTTGGAGACTTGCATATAGTCTTTTCTCATACCAAAACTCTTGCCTTGATTTCACGTAGATGGAAAGTATCCTGTCCTTCCCTTTCAGATGTTCAAAAGTACGGTCTAATAATTTTGCATCAGCTTGTTAATTGTCATTAGTAAATGATGTGTTTTGCTCTAGAATAGCCCATCCTCATTTAAAATTAAGATGCAACGTCGTGGTACCTGCAGGATGTAATCACAGAAGCATCTCCCATGCAATATACCATTCTCCAAATAAGTCCTAGATTGACTCTATGACCAGTCCTTCTCGGTCCATAATGAATATTTTTATTTTTAACGTCTTAAATCATCAAGCAGTCGCCATCTCTTTATAATTTAATATTAATGTATGTGATTAGCAATATAGCATCGGCAATTTGATAATAAATATGTAAGTTCATGCTATTACTGAGTTCCACATCTTTTTCTGCAACTAGGATAGATAAAAGTGGGCGATTAGTCCAGATTGATTATTGTAATTTTATGCCAAACTCACATTGCAAAAATATAAATAAGCCATAGCTCTTCAATTATTGGGTGGATACAGTGTTATTACATCAATTGAATCACTGTTTCATAGTTCCATCTTGTGTGAAACTGCTGTCGTCACTTGTGGGTCTTTATCTCTGTCCTAATGTCTTTCAATTTCTTTATTAGGCCAATTCTTCCCATTTTCTGCTGTAAAATATATTTATATGGGTGTGGCTGGTCTTCACTTCTACATTTGTGACTTTGTTCTTTACTCTTTCTCCGTTCTTCTTGCTAATTTTGGAGCCCGATAAACTTTTTGGTCTTCTTTTTTTGTTTAGAAGGCACTAGGAATCATGTTGAGTAATGAAGAACAGTTGATGCTAAATGTAGATTCCAAAGTCGGTGCTCTCTTTTCCTGTTATTTTCAGGATTTATTTTTTCTTACCCCATCTAAATATTTGCTAGCAAAATCCGGATGCGAGGTTTCTGATTATTTGTAACTGTTTAGGATCTGCTAGAAAGAAAACATGAAGATTCATCATCAGTTTTTGTATCCAATTCACCAACACAGAATAGCAAACCAAGCAGCATGGTTGTAAAGGCAAGTCCTAGTGACCTTTCGTATGGATTTTTCTCTTACATAAATAGCATGATTGATATTAGTTTCTAGCTAAATGTGTATGATCTGATGTAATTTTTTACATGAACTGAAGGCGCCATAATTCCAGCTCACCTGATAGCCGAAGCCATATCAACGGTCCATGGTCTTGACCTGAGATGTTCAGGACCAATAACACAGTGAAATGCAATATATGAGGCAGTTATGTTTCTGCAAAGTACCCTCAATATTGCGCAATGATATTGTGGTGAGTGGAGAAAACACAATTGATCTTACCAATATTTGCATCAATGAGGAATCGTCCAGAACCACACCGGACAGCAAGCCTGGTTCCCCCAAGAGTCTTGGCGCTAGAGAGTCTACTCCATTCACTCGCAGCCTATCTGATATTGACAAAACACAATTGGAGGCTTCAAGACTACTAGACATTCTTAACAAGAAAACTACTTGTAAAGAATCAAAGGTTATTCCAATGCCAGAAACTTGGCTGAACCTGCGGATTAAGGGGTCGCAACATAGCCAATTTCTTAGAAGGAAGTGCAAGCACATCCCAAAGGGCCTTTTCTCTTGCCCAGCTATTGTCAATGAGACCAGATATTCTATGCATTGGATATCAGAGGAGCACAGAAATTCATAGCATGCTCTCCTTGATGCCACAGGCATGGTTTTTGGAGAAGACAGACTGGCCCTTGCACACCACCGCCCTGACTTCGTCGTGTTGTGTACACTTGCTTAGTCAATCTTTTTCCATAAATCTTCCCTCTGGTAACAATTTAGTTAATCCAAGAAAACAAGAAACAAGCTAAAGCTAAAATATGAATATGTTTTGATGCTAAAATAACAAAATTAAAGAACAAACTCAATCCGAAAAACATTAATAGTTCATACGGACATGTGACAGCATATGACAGATGTAAACTAAATGGAATACTTATTAATAAATTCACATATTTAAATAATAAAGATAAAGAGTATAAATATTCAAATAATTTTTTTTGAAAAGTTTGCATCGTAAATAATTCTCTTGGAAATCGCATTGGACTCTAAACAATGATTCCACTAGCTTACCGTGATTCCACTAGCTTTACTGTATTCATGATGTTCTTATAAAATATTTTTTATTTTGATATATTAAGATATTTTTAAAAAATATAAATTTTATATTTAAAAAATGAAAAATAATTTAAGAATTAAAAAAAAAAACGATTTGAACAAACAATGACATTTCAAAATAGGAAACAGAATGCATGAAAACCCTTTCCTGCCTTTCAAGCATTTTAAAGAAAAAAAAAAAGTTAATAACTTCATGTCTTGGGCTCTCCTCCGCAATCTCATGAGACAAATTGATAAATGGCAGCTACCAATGGGCTCCACAATTCTAAAAGTGTATTGATAAGTGGCAACCTTAACATGCTTTATTCATTCCGCCAATTTAAATTGTACCTTACCACGATGCTGGTCGCCAGCAAAGAAATTGATAGCCGCACAGGTGTCTATAAATCATTGAAGATGAAAGTTACCAAAATATTGCAAGCAAATAGAGGAGTTATCCTTCCATTTTGCAATTGCCACGTACAGCTTTTAGCTAATAGAACATATGTTTTTAGTTTTAAAAATATTTAATTTTTTTTCTTTGAATTAATTTTTTTATGTATTTTTAGATTGTTAATATTTATTTTAATACATTTCTAAACTAAAAAACCATTTTAAAAAATAATAATTACGGCTGAAAATCCAATCCAGCGCGGCGTCACGCCCAAAGATTCAACAAGAACTCCAATCTGAAGAGGTTAGCTTGTTGGTAGCGGGTTTATTTTCTTAGAACATCAAGATTCAAATTTCAATATCAAAACAAAAAACTAGATGTATAATTTTATTTTCTAAAATACTTTTTATTTGAAAAGATATTAAATTAATATTTTTATAAGTGTTTTTAATAATTTTAATAGTCTTATGAAAAATAAAAAATAATATTTTAATATATTTTTGGAGGCCTCTGGTTGTTGGCCTCTAGCATTGAAAAACTTTACCATGTCTATGTTATTACTTGATATTTGAATTACTTGCATGGTTGGCCTTTACCTTCACACCTTCACCCTTTCAATTGATGGTGAGTTATTTTGTTCAAAAGCACAATTTTTAAAAGCATACGTGCATGCTTGTTATTGTATTTTTACGTGGGTTTTAAAATCATACATCAAAAATCCTTTTAGTGTTTTTTTATAATATTAATATGCTGATAATAAAAATAAATAAATAAATAAATCATCTTACTATATGGTCTAAATAAAAAACACCATATCAATATATTAAACGGGCAATACAAGACATCACGAAACACACACTATCTGATAGTGAGATAATTTGGCATCTACTTGAATCTCCATATTCAAATTTCATCTGTTCCCCGACTCAACACACTCTTTTCCCTCGCAAGATATTTTCCGTGCAACGCAGATTTCAAACAGAAATATAATAAAATAAAATTCTGTCGCATCTCTGCGTCTCATTTATCTATCTTGTCAGAAGCATAGAAAAAAGCGTATTTTAGCAATACCAACCATCACGCTGGCTCACATTAGCAGCTGGAGGGATCTCAAAATGCCATAGCCGACCTACAGCCTTAACCAAATACTTCCTGCACAAAAACTCCTCCGCAAACATTTTCTCCACTCTCCGATTCACATCATGTAAAAACACATGCGTCACTCCTGATCCTTTCCTCCCCCTAGCCATCACCGCCGCTGAAAATATCGCCGCCATCCTCCCTGGTGCTTCCGGGAAGTACCCTCTTGGCGCATCAATCATTATCAAATCCCATTCCTTATCATAAACTTCGTCAGGCAATCCAGACAGTGCTAACCTACACTTATAATTGCCGCGTAAGCACGCTTTACTTGGCGAACACAACGGTTCAGACCGGTACGTTTTCAGGAGGCTGTCGGCTTCTTGCAGTTGCGTCCGGTACTGAACCGTGTGCGCATTTAACGTTGGGGCTTTTTTGACGATTGTCTGAACCCATTTGGGATCTTCTTCGAGAAATAAAGTGGTGCCATGTGGATTTAATGATGTCCACATGAGAGAATCAAAACCCAGACCAAATACAAGGAAGTTGCAAGGTGAACGCGTTTTGAGGACATCGAAAGTGACTGAGATTTCGGCCAAAGATTGTTGTGGGACGATCTTTGACGTTGCATAGTGAAGGATAGATTGGAGTTGAGTCGGCGTAGCGTCGTAATCCGCGGCGGCGCGGGCTTTGGCCGAAGCTAAGGAGCAGAGGCCGAAGGAAGAGATGTTATCAACCGACCGGATTAAGTTTGAAAAGAGAAACGCACCGATGATCAGACCGGATAAAGCCACTGCGAGTAGACAGGATTTTTCCGGAGTAAATTGGGTTCTCTTCATCTCTTTTTCTCTCTTGATAGAATTTATGATTGGTTTCTTGGGAAAAGGGAAAGAAAGGAGGAGAGAATCTTGCTTGGTCTTGGGCTTGGGTGGAGGAGCTGTGTCTGGCAAGATTGTTGTTCGTTATATAGAGAGATAGGAAATGAGTTGAAGAGTGGAAGAGAGCATAAATAGATAATGAGTGAAGGTTTTGTTTTTGGACATAAATACCCATATAATTTTAGGACTTGGGAGTTGTGCACACGTTGTCTGTAAATTGTATCATCTCTTTGGATGTTTTGTGGTGTTGCTTCTAACAAATTACTGATTGGTTTTTTTTTCCAATTTTTGCTGAATTATTATTGGATTCAACACTTGACTTTCATGGGCAATAAGATTTTCCATGCACACCTATTGACCAGGTAAGCATGCAATTTTCCCTTTTCTAAAGAAACTTAAAATAACTTTTTTTATAGCAACTTCATATATATATATATATATATATTTCAAAAACTTTTTGAAATAAAATATATCAACTAAATTGCATGGACTAAATTAAGAATTTAGTTTATAAATTATTTTTAATTAGTATATCTTTATAATGTCTCTTCGGATATCTAGACTATGTGATAAAGTGTCTAGTAATTATGATAATGGTGCCAGTAGCTTAAAAAAAAAAAAGTCTCGTGGTTTAAAATATATAGCTATGATAATAGTGCTAGTAGCTTAATAAAAAAAAAAAGCTATTCAAAATTACCTAAAAGCAAGTGATTTAGATTATTACAATAATATCTGCACGTGTAAAAGTAATATGATGCAATCATCAAAGAAATTCTAGTAATATAAAGGTACAGAGAACAATTTGTTGATTTACATTATAACTTTAATAATATTTATAATCACAAAAGTTATGTGGTTTTTTAGAATGTAAGTATGCTTCATTAAATCTAAGATAACAAATTGCAACCACTGATTAAAAAGTGATTTAATTGATCATCATGTACCCAGTTGAACAATTCATATAAGTCTTATTACAAAAACAAAATTGATTTTCATTGATTGCTTTAGTATTACTCAATTATTTATCCCAATTTAGCGTTAGTTTTCAATTCCAAGAAAAATTATTTTTTAAATCAATTTAAGTTTTAATAGGAAGAAATTAAGTTTAGAGATCAAATTATAATTTTTAAGAGTTGATTTGGTCAAGTTATGAATTTAATTATATAAATATTAAAGTTTTATAGTCAATTAAAAGCTTGACTGAAGAATTCCAAAATTAAAAATCAAACTAAAAAAAACGTGTAAATAGAGAGATTGAAATTGATTGGATCAGGAATTAAATTAAAAAAATTTAAAGTTTATTAATCAATTAAAAATCAAATTATACAAAAAAAAATTATGTATCATCCACTTATAATTTTTTATCATCAAAGGTGGCTATGATGATTGGACAAGTAAGGTGGAAGTTTTTTAACCTTGAAAACCCAAATTTCATCATAAACTTCGTCAGGCAATCCAGACAGTGCTAACCTACACTTATAATTGCCGCGTAAGCACGCTTTACTTGGCGAACACAACGGTTCAGACCGGTACGTTTTCAGGAGGCTGTCGGCTTCTTGCAGTTGCGTCCGGTACTGAACCGTGTGCGCATTTAACGTTGGGGCTTTTTTGACGATTGTCTGAACCCATTTGGGATCTTCTTCGAGAAATAAAGTGGTGCCATGTGGATTTAATGATGTCCACATGAGAGAATCAAAACCCAGACCAAATACAAGGAAGTTGCAAGGTGAACGCGTTTTGAGGACATCGAAAGTGACTGAGATTTCGGCCAAAGATTGTTGTGGGACGATCTTTGACGTTGCATAGTGAAGGATAGATTGGAGTTGAGTCGGCGTAGCGTCGTAATCCGCGGCGGCGCGGGCTTTGGCCGAAGCTAAGGAGCAGAGGCCGAAGGAAGAGATGTTATCAACCGACCGGATTAAGTTTGAAAAGAGAAACGCACCGATGATCAGACCGGATAAAGCCACTGCGAGTAGACAGGATTTTTCCGGAGTAAATTGGGTTCTCTTCATCTCTTTTTCTCTCTTGATAGAATTTATGATTGGTTTCTTGGGAAAAGGGAAAGAAAGGAGGAGAGAATCTTGCTTGGTCTTGGGCTTGGGTGGAGGAGCTGTGTCTGGCAAGATTGTTGTTCGTTATATAGAGAGATAGGAAATGAGTTGAAGAGTGGAAGAGAGCATAAATAGATAATGAGTGAAGGTTTTGTTTTTGGACATAAATACCCATATAATTTTAGGACTTGGGAGTTGTGCACACGTTGTCTGTAAATTGTATCATCTCTTTGGATGTTTTGTGGTGTTGCTTCTAACAAATTACTGATTGGTTTTTTTTTCCAATTTTTGCTGAATTATTATTGGATTCAACACTTGACTTTCATGGGCAATAAGATTTTCCATGCACACCTATTGACCAGGTAATTGGAGGCCTCTGGTTGTTGGCCTCTAGCATTGAAAAACTTTACCATGTCTATGTTATTACTTGATATTTGAATTACTTGCATGGTTGGCCTTTACCTTCACACCTTCACCCTTTCAATTGATGGTGAGTTATTTTGTTCAAACTTTCTTATCATCTTTGAAATGGTGGTTTGTCCTTGTCATAATTTATTTTTAGATTATTTTTTATCTTTCAAAATAAAAAATAAAAAATATATATTTAGAAGAAATTCAAAAAATAATGCTAGTGAGAAAAGGATGTCAAAACACCCAGAAAATAGATAAAACTTAGCTGAGGAGATTCAAAAATACTAAAATTAAAATTTAACGTTATATTTTTTATCGATGAGAGCCTTGTTTATAAAGAAAATTCAAGAAAGAAAGAAAAGTTCAAAATCAGATGTCTATGAATTCAATTAAATTTTATTGAAGATTTAATTGAATTTATAAAGAGTTCAATTCCAAGAAAAATTATTTTTTAAATCAATTTAAGTTTTAATAGGAAGAAATTAAGTTTAGAGATCAAATTATAATTTTTAAGAGTTGATTTGGTCAAGTTATGAATTTAATTATATAAATATTAAAGTTTTATAGTCAATTAAAAGCTTGACTGAAGAATTCCAAAATTAAAAATCAAACTAAAAAAAACGTGTAAATAGAGAGATTGAAATTGATTGGATCAGGAATTAAATTAAAAAAATTTAAAGTTTATTAATCAATTAAAAATCAAATTATACAAAAAAAAATTATGTATCATCCACTTATAATTTTTTATCATCAAAGGTGGCTATGATGATTGGACAAGTAAGGTGGAAGTTTTTTAACCTTGAAAACCCAAATTTCAATATTTGTTCACCTAAAAACATGAAAAATAATATATGGTATGAACATCTAAAATCACTTTCATGACAATAAAAGATTTTCAACTTAATAAAAAAACTCAAAATCAATTCAAATAAAAACTTTAGCTGCGTCAAGTACTGAACCGTATGCGCATTTAACGTTGGAGCCTTTTTGACGATTGTCTGAACCCACTTAGGATCTTCTTCGAGAAACAGAGTGGTGCCATGTGGATTTAATGATGTCCAAAGTTATACTTTATCTTATTTATTATCATTGACGGTGAAAATCATCTCCATTAAATTTATCTTTTAAAAATAAATTAAAAAATATTAAAATTATAGTTATTGAATGTTAAAATTTGATCATCCTAAAAATTTTCTTTCTTTCTTTTTTAATGAGTTTCCTTGTCATCTTTAGACAAGGATGGACTAGAATACCAAAAATAAATTTAGAAATTAAGACATAAAAACCTTAAATAATAAGGATTAAATATAAAAAAAAAGTAAAATTTAATGGTTGTATTGAGCATTTTAACATTACAAGCAGGAGATTTTTTTTAATGTCAATTTTAATTATTAATCTTTCAATTTTCGTTTTAAGAACAATCTAATTTTTTTATATATAAAATTATTCTTTAATTCAATGTATATTCAATGACATATCAAGTATGAGAGAGCATGTAAATTAAATTATATTAAACAAAAAGAACCATGTAAACATCACTTACACGGATATAATCTAAAAGAAATAAAGTTTTGTGATGCAAGCAAAAAGATACCAAAATTTAAGAGATTAAGGAGGAAAAAAATAACTATAATCAGTGACAGTTCATCAACATTGAATAGGAGTGCGATGCATTGCAATGTAATTATAATTTAATACTTATATATATAAAAGCATTATATATATATATATATAAAAAAAAAAAAAAAACTATTTCAACGTCTCCAGCTTTTTTGTACAGCGAAAAGCAAAAGGAATGCTAGACAAAGAAGAAAAAAAAACTGTAAATGGGCCATCATAAAGACCTGATACCTTGCCGGTTCTTGCTCTAGTGTCTGGCACTCTGCAGTTAGAAAATATTTTTAAAATATTTTTAAAAATATTTATTTTTTAAATTAAAATATTTTTTAGTATTTTCATATCATTCATTTGATACACACTGTAAAAATAATTTTTATAAAATAAAAGGTATTAATTTAATATTTTTTAGAATAAAAACACTATAAAAAACAACTAAATACGTATTTTGATGCTATCACAAATTTTTGAAGAAGTGGCTTGGTGACAGGAAATTGGGATCCTGGGCAGTGAAGTCAATGCCAAGCTTTCTGTCCACTCCACGGCGTTTAAAAAAGAAGAAGGGATGGTTGGGAGAAATTTGAAGAAGTGGCTTGGTGACCGGAAATTTTCTGTCGGCGTTTAAAAAAGGAAAAAGGGTAATTGGGTGGAAGAAATTCCATCGCATTAAAAGCTTACTCCTATGATTTTGTCTATCCATCACCTTCTTCATAGCGTTGCTCTACTTTTTTTCAATAACCACACACATCCTCTACTCTACAGTGACAACACGGATGCAGAAATATCTTTTCATATAAGCACCAACAACATCGCCGTGTCGACTAAGGTTAGTATCAGGTTGCTGTTTGCGGAGGAAATTAGAGTTGGTATATTTTTATGTTTTAAATGTATTAAAAAAAATATTTTGTTTTAAATTATTTTTTATTTCTAGATCATTTTAATTTACACCCTATAAAAATTAAAATCTATATCTAGACCCCAAAAAAATTAAATTTTTTTAATATTTTAATCAAACTCTAATGGATGATTATAAATTGATTATAATATTTATTTTTTATTGGATTTTCAAAACATGAGAAAGATGTAATTTTTTTTACGAAAATATGCTTGAAAAACATTGGTTGTATGCATGAAAATAAAATATTTTTTGTTTTTTTTAAAGAGAGATTAATTTAAAAGTTTTGAGATTTTTTTAGAAAGGTTTTGGAGAAAAGCCAGATATCTAATACTGGATTGGTATCTTATATTATAAGTATACAATCCAGTATTAAGCAAAACTAATAAAAAATTCAAGAAAATAAAAGAAAAATAAAAGGATTTTTGAAAAAAAATTCTAATTTTTTTTGTTTTTTGTCGAGTTGGACTCAGCCCCAATATTAAAAAAAAAAAAAGTGTCATTTGCATGCATAATTTCTACACGCAAATGGCTATGTGGCAGGTTTTAAGATGGTAGAAGGAAGAGCATTTTTGCTTGGCTGGAGGCATAGTTTTGAAATCCGGACCGGCCCGGCGGGTCGATCCGGGATCTAGGACCCGACCGATCCGGGCCTAGGATTGGTCCGGGTGGAGGTAAAAACCTGCTTGGAAGTTGACCCGGTAAAACCCAGTCGACCCGAGTAAACCTGGATGAGACTCGACCTTATTTTCTTTGGCAACTGTCTTGCTCTTTGTCTCTCCTTCCATGACAACTGTCTTGCCCAAGGTTTCTCTATACATTGTCTATCATTTTATTTCTCTACACAGTAAAAGGAAAAAAATAGGAAAAACAAGTGAAATTGGAAGGCTAATATCAGCAATAGCAGCCTCCTTTTCCTTTTCTCAATCAAATTTTGTTTTTTTTTTTTGTTGATGACCCTTTTAGTTTTTCTCCTTTCTCTTTTTCAAACCCTTCTCCTTCCCCTCAATCTTCTTCGTCTTCTTCTTTTATACAATCTCAGCCATCCACTTTGCCTCAATCAATGGCAGCGGGTAATCTAGAGCTCCTAGGAATGGTCACCCACGAACAACACTACTGAGTTTGATCCTAAAGCTTTAGAGAGAGGTGTTAAGGTTTCAAGAGAGTAATCATCTTTCTCTTATGCTAAAATCGTTGAAACTTTTCAAGGTGTCCACAAATACAATCTGTAAGAGTGCCTTTACTGTTTTGTGTTTTTGGTGGTGGGATTCATGGAAAATTTATGAAAATAGGTTTTTGGGTTTGTTTGTTTACAAATACAGTCTGTAAGGGTGTTAGCAAAAAAATTCACAAAACCCAATAAACTTTTTGTTGGTTTTGCTAGGTTTTTGAATTGGAATTGGATTTTCTTTATTAAGTTTTTTTGTTGGGTTTTTAATTGGGGGTATTTTTGTAAAATTTCTTACCATATTTTTTTGGTTTTGTACAAGAAATGACAGCATCAACTTGGTTGGGGTACAATTATACAATTCATGAGATATGACAGGCAAAATTAATTATGTTGCCTAAACTCAAAGTTGTTTTTTGAAGCATTTGATTTAACAAGCAGCTAAAATCCAATAGGATTTTTTTGGGTTGACCCAGGTCAATCTAGGTCAACTCATTTGACCCGTGACCTAATTATTAGACCGAGTTAATTACCGGGTCGGGTTTAAAAACTATAGTTGGAGGTGAAAAGGGTTAGGAGCATTCATGGTGTTACAGTGAAGATATTTCATGGTGGCCAGAGATAGGAGAAAAAAAGGGAGAAAGTTAAGCTGGTGGAGGGGGAAGAAAAAGCTAGAAAAAAAGATGATTTTTTGCCAAAGTTTCATCGTAATTTCTTCCTCTTCAGGGAATAAAATTCGCTTCTATTTATAGGGAATGTAAGAGAGACATGTTATATTTACCGGTGCCAACTCTTGGCCTTTAATTCTACCCAAAAGGATCTCAACCGTTAATTTAAATTTGCAACTATGGCCTACAAAAGTTAAGTACTAAAGGGTGGTCAGGTTGGCTATGAGGCACGTTTTCACAAAGCAGAAGAAAGAGCTACCTTGCTTAGTCGGAGGTAAAGAGAGGCTGGAGGTGTTCTTGGCATTTCAAGGAAGAATTGGGAGTGATTAGTAGTGGAAAATGTGGCTAAAGCATGGCATTGGAACTAGCTAGTTTGGTGCCCAAGAGGAGGAAAAGATAGAAGAAATATGGCAGAAAAATGTTAGGCAAAGGCGAATGTTTCTCAACTTTGGCTTC